CTAATCCCTCAAAAAAATTCATTTATATTTCCTGCATCTAGGCATAAATCATTTGAAGTTAGATGTAATTCTGAATTAAACTGAACAAGTATTTTCTTTAGATTATACAAAAGTTAGCTTCAGTTCATTATCTAAGAATGTAACCACTCCAATCATTACAGATTAAATGGTGATATATTCAATAATTTTAATAAGCCTTAAAAACACAGCTGAAAGAAAGAATAACTAATATTAAGATTTTTTTTTTAAACTTTTAGTAATCCCAAATTAAATATAAACATCTTTTGCAATTTGTGACAAAATGACCCAAGCGCTTTCGAAAGGTGGACCTTTCTTCTTCAGGGGCAAACTGGGAATGGTGGTGTAATTGAATGAGTGATATATATATATAAAGGGAGTTTAGTGACGTCAAGAAAATCTGCATTACATTTTTCTAAATAATCAGAATCTCAAACAGTAACTGATCTTGCCAGACTGGTTTTAACTATGAACAACTTTGAATTCAATAATTAGTATTACACTCAGGTTAACGGTACTGCAATGGGTACCAAAATGGCTCCTAATTAGGCCAACATTTTTATGGGTCTGTAAAACCTCATACGTGGAAAAGTTACATAGACAACATATTTTTCATTTGGACAGCCAGTATTAAATGTCTTAAAGAATTTATCTCGCATGGAAATTCCTTTCACAAAACAATCAAGTTTACCTGTGATTACTCGCCTACCTAGATTAACTTTCTTGATGTGACTGTTTTTAAACAACAGAATTTAAAACACTGACTTGTACAAAAAAACCTACAGACAGACCACAATACCTTCACTATAAAAGCTGTCACCCCTCTCACACTAAACAAAACATTGCCTACAGTCAAGCTCTTAGAATAAAGAAAATATGCTCAGATGAAACACTACAGAAAACACACCAAGGATCTAAAACAAACCATATTACAGAGGATATAAAGATACCCAAATCGACAGACAAATTGAAAAGACTAACAATACTCAACAGAAAAACATCCTAAATCAGAGCAATATTAAACTTTCAAATATAATTCCTCTTATTATTACCTATCAGTTTAAACTCAGAAACATTTTGTGAATTCTGAAAAAAATTTACATCTCCTTCCAAAAAAATAGAACTCTAAAAAATATCCTCGTTTACACAAAAGTGAATTACATCCCACCCAAAAATGTTTGTCGTCCATGTAATAAAGCCTGTTGTCAAACCTGTAAGTTCATAAAAACCACTGACTCATTTTCTGACAAGCACAACCAAAGAAACTTTAAAATATCCAAAGAAATCACTTGTGAAACAAAAAACACCATTTACCTTATATAGTGTAAAAAATGCAATTACCAATATGTAGGACATACATAAACAACTCTTAGAGAACGTTTAAACAACCATGAATCTTCTATTAACACTGAAAAAGATCTCCCTGTTACTCAACACTTTAACCAACCCAGTCATTCCATTAACAATGTTACTTTCATCGGCATTGAAACAAGATTCAAAACTAAAGCAGATAGAGAAATAAAAAAAAAGCTTATTCGACTGCTAATCTAAACACTGTTTAACCTTTAGGAATTAATCTAGATCCTGGAATCAATGATCTCCATTCATTGGTTTCATTTCTGTCTGAAAAATAATTTTTATTCTTTTCATGTAATGTGAACACTGAATTTCCTAAACTTACTATTTATTTAAGATGATTTTTCATACCTGTTTTTATAAATTGATTAGCATAACATATTATTTTCAATCAGTCTCCAGGTGTCACCTTTATTTTACATAAAAACTTAAGTATAGTTTTAAATATACATATATTTATCCATTTTTAAAGTAAAATATCCCAAACAACTTTTCACCTACACTCTCGCTATCGGCTACATTTCCTGGAAAACCGGATGACCTTCATGATGTCACTAAACTCTCTTTTCATTTGATTACACCACCATTCCCAGTTTGCCCAGAAGAAGAAAGGCCCACCTTTTGAAAGCGCTCGGGTTATAGGGTTTTTATTCATTTCTATCAAGACTTCTTGAACCTACGTGTTTTTCTAACATCATCCAAGTATACTATAATACCAAGACATAGACAAGGAAAAACCAGAACTTAATTTTCATGAAAAAATACAAAAACTCCCAATAAATACTTTATAAAACAGAAAACACTTTGGCTGAAAAATTTAGTTACACTGTTAAAATGCTGAAAAAAATAAGCAGATCATGTACATACAAGTTTCATAAGTGTCAAAATGAGGAATGTTACAACATGAAATATCCATGCTCTCTAAGGCTTTTGTATGTTTCTTCCAAACAGTATTTTCAAGAAGTATAGCTTTCTAGAAAAGTTGGTAAAATTCATATTAATAAAGAGTTGATTATAAATTATACTAAAGTTATGACTAAAAATCAGAACTACTAAATTTGTATATGATGAACCAAAATGATTGTCCACAACCTACAACTCGATTTCTCAAAGGTAAATTTAAAAAGGAAAGAAGAGAATCTTATTTATTATTCAATAAAAATATGTTAAGTTCAGACATATAGTTAACTAGAAAATAAACTGAAAAGACGTTTTAGAATAGTAATTTTATTGACAATACTTTTTCAATTTTTTCTCAAGGATAACAGTTACACAAATATGATAATTATACACAACGTAATGATGAAGTGCTCTACAGAGTTTTCATTAAATAATATGTTGAGAAGAGTTTGTTGTTGTTTAAACATATATGAATAGACTATTTCAAAATAACTGTCTAAACAAATAATAGGGTCTCAATGATAAAACATTTTAATATATTGGTTATGGCTCTTTAGTACTGATAAGCAGCTTCTAAGGAATACAGCTGCAACATGAAGATAGAACATATACCAACATGAAACTGCATTTGGTTTCACTAAATTAACTAATTTCAGTTATACTTTTGAAGTCAGTTTTTTTCTATATTGTATTGTTTATATTGTATCCCTAGAGTTAAAATTAAGTTTCATTATAAAAATTATGCCTTCCACAATGTTAATGAACATGTTATATGTCATATTAAAAATACATTACAAACTTTCAGACTCTTATTTTTAGTTATTTTTTCTATTTTTTTTACATTAAAATAAAATACAAAGCTTTTCAGCATAAATTCAATACAAAAAACATACTATTAATGTTTTAAGTTAATACTTAATGATTACATTCCATTTCTCTTAGCAACTCTTCTTCAGTCAAAAAATTATCATTTATTTTTTGTTTATCCTTTTCTTCTCTGTTGTCTTTTCCTGGGTCAATAGATTTTGAGTCACTATTCACATGTGCAGATAAACCTTCATTCAATGAACCAGAGGCACAGTGTAGTGAAGATATATTTGTACAGAATGAGCCAGAACAGCCTTCTGGACTAGTGACACTGAGTGGAAGGTGAGAAGTTCCAGTTATTTCCAATTCATTATCTTCAACAAAATGTGAAGTAGTTCTTTCATAACTCGAATTAGAATCAACCTGTGTCAGTGGGGTAGTGACACTGAGTGGAAGAAGAAAAGACTCTTCAGTGAAAGTTGAAGTACTTTCTTTGTGACTCAAATTAGATTCAACCTGTGTCACTGGAGTAGCAACATTTAAAACCATAGGTGAACCAACTTTTAATGTATTCATGTTTGTAATGTCATGATCATTTTCCTGGGCTTGTAATTTTTGTTTTCTGCGCTCTTCAGCAATTTGCTTATTACGTTCAATTTTTTCTTTCTGCTCTTCTGTCAATGACTAAGGAATAAAGAAAGTGTTAGAAGTGAAAAAAAAAGGTACTTTCAATTAGGAATCTCTCATTACAAATTTATTACTAAGTGAACCACAATGGTTACAATACTGTTTAATGTAAAGATGTACAAAAAAAAATTAAACTGTGAGGTACACAAGTATCTGCAATAAGATGTTTATACACAGGTTACATTAATTTTTGTTTTTTCAATACTAAAATACTACCATACTAATACTTTCATCTAATTGTTAAAATTACACACTTTATCCTAAAAAAAAAATGTTGGATAAATTTAACAAACATATTTGAACCTTCTCTGATGAATATAGATGAAAAATACAGTATAAGACAAAAGTGAAAAACAATGATGCAGAAGTGAAAACAAAGAAACAAGAGAGAAGCCCAGTCACAAAGCCAATAACATAATTTCATATACTAAACAACTAATCATATCACATTTTACCCATTCCTTATTTTGATATTACCATTTGAAGGAGAGACAAATTATGCTTCTTTATTTATAAGATTAAACAGTCTAAAGAAACAATTCATATCACAGGAATATTTCTGAATCACATTTTTAAAAAATTTAAATATATACTTTTGATTAATAAATACTAAGAATGACATTCTAATAAGTGGTTGTTTAGACAGATGGTCTACTTTGTAGCAGTCCAAAACCATCTGTGTCTAATCTCTGATTTGGCAAATTTCTCATATTTTTGAGATTATTTCTATATCTTAAAGAAAAAATCTAATGATTTCATGTTATACTTCATTTGCTGATTTTCTATTTGAAAAACTAATAAAGCATCAAAAACAATTTAAGAAATTACATTTCCTGTCCTTTTCATTCTACAATATCTAACTAAACAGGTAGTTTGTATTCAGTAGACCACAAAAACTTTAAAAGTGATATCTTAGAATATAAAATGTACCACGGATGATTGAGTACTGTTACATTAAAACAAATTTTGGAGTCTCACTATTTTGTTATTGTTCATGTTACCACATGCTGTCTAACAATAGCACCTGCTTGCTGTGTAAATTCCATTGCAGAAGGCTCCAGCATAAGATTGTCATGTCCAAAGCACACCACGCCTCCCTGTCTGCTTTCAATATTCCATCTAGTGTACAACGAAAACAGCTTCCTAGTACCCATTTCAACAGTTTGATCACACAAAAATTCATAAGCGCCATTTCCAATGACTTGAATTATATTTGTATGAAATAGCATGAATACCCACTTTATTTTCTGGCTATGCAACAGTTGAACAGGATGTATGAGTGGAAGCTTCGTCCTGGAGAAACCATACACTGTTGGCCTCATTTCCAGACTGAGATCTTTCTTAATTATTTTGTGTACTGTTGCTGGAATACATTGACAGTTTTTGCCACTGACCTTTTGTTTGTGGATTCTCACCTATTACAAGATGCCACACTCTGCTTACCACAGCAAGGTATGACTTATTGCACGTCTCTTTCTAGATGGTCCTGGTGCCCAAAGTTTATTCATATTCCTTTTCTCCCCAATACTATGAAGTACAAGGGATATCTCTGATTTGTACACACTTTTATGATACAAGTGTCTGAATATTTTGTAGTAACAAGGGGGGCTGTTAAATGCCCTTTTGGAAAGCAATCACTTTTTGATGGTACCACACTACATTATGAAATGCCTTATAGGTTAAAATGTAGTTCTAATATGCTGCATTTCATTGCAGATTGTTTTAGTATATTGTACTTAACCACGTAATCATTAGTGTGTGGGACAAAGAAATTACTGTCTGCTTCAATAGAGGTCATAATTGTTTCATAAAAATAAAAGACTGAAATCAGAAGCTTACTCTGCTCAGTTAAGTAACAGAAACTATCTATTCCTGAAAATCATATCAGATACTGTACTTGTATCTACTCTTTATCTTTTCATTGTTTAACAAAATATATATCAACTAAACACCACAAGATTTCTTTTCATTAAACTTAGTTTTATACATTTCCAGACCAGCCAGAAATTCTTTTTATGCCTGCTTTCCATGAATGTAAAAAGGATTTTTCCAGGCTTACAATAGCAAAAATAGTTTAACTCAAAAAAGCATGTTTCACTATTTTTACTCTAATCTGGGCCTACATTATAAACATACACAGAACTGTAGCAAAGAAGGGAAAAAAACCATGAAAAGAGAAAACAATCAAACAAGAAGAACCACACCACATACGATATTCTTATTTTCAGAACTTGATTAACAAAAACAGAGGTTTGTAAAAATAATTTTTTCAAATCTTTCTTTTGTCTCCCACAAGATGCTGCCCAAGAAGCTTTTTGTTCAATACCAGAACTCTTCAATTGGGCTGGACGACGAGAGATAAAAGCTTATTGGGTAATGACTTATGAGACAGAAAATGTAGATCTGAAATGCTATTTTTACACACCTCTAATTTTGAACCACAGTGACAATTTAAGATGAACATGAAAAAAAATATCTGAAGTTAACTTGATTTTTATAACAATTATTAGGCCTGTTGGATTTAAGTAGTTTGCCAACTGTTGGCATTTAAGCTATAACTAATTACAGATCCATGCATCAAAACAGATGGCCAACTAATGCAGCTGTTCATTTGGAAGGCAGAGCAGTAATATTTATAGGTAATGGTCCCAAATTAACTATTTTGGGCTTTACAAGTGCTAGCTGCATGTTCTGAATTCTTCTGAAACATGTCAGTGATTAAGAATAAGCTTTTGCAGTGCATCTATGCAATTTTTGGTATATAAAAGTTTAGTAATTATAAGTTACTAAAATACAGATACTTGCAAAAATATTAAAATAAAATTATAAATGAATAGTGTAGTAGCATCTTTTCAGATTCTCCACTGATCAAGAACATATCCTAAAAAATTTTAAAATAGAAAAAGTAATCATTAGGGGAAAAAAAGAAGAAAAATTACCACTTTATTTGTTGGTGTTTTACAATCTTGAGGTATGGATGGATGTTCTAGTGAGGCTGGAAGATCTCTTAGAGTTTGGAAGCTTTCTGTCTCATATCTATTCATTTCATGTCCAGTATTTAATTCAGCTTCAATTTCTTGTTCCCGTAACAAATCCTCAAATATATCCTCAGTATTTTTATCATCCTGTTGTCTCCTCACTGTATCTTCTTCTTCCTCTTCCCCTCCTTCTCCAACAAAGTCCTCAGAGAAAATGGGCATGTCTGCTCGTATTCTCCTTATACATGTCTAATAAACATTATTTGGTTACTAGTTAAAATCCTGAAGAATTGAATGTAATTACCTATGCTCATTTCAAAAGTTACATTTTTGCTTTTATTAAGTGATTGGATACTAAGCCAGATAATAAATGAAAGAAAGAAAAGCAAACTTTTACAGGATTGTGCTCTTCAAGTACTTATATCTTAAAAGTGTGAAAATATCCATAACTTTAACACAACAGATTTTGTAACAAGAGTCAGCCTATTATAGTTTAACAACAGTTTTTTAATAAACAGTTTATTTGGGGCTATTACACTGAACAACGTATGAAGGGTATTTAGGTGTGGACTAACAATACAATAAATTTTTAGCACACTTTTTAACATTTCTGCTTCTCAAATGTTTACATAAAATGTGTTTCCACAAAATTATTGTTAACAATTATTCAAAATGTACATTGCATATATTTAACATTTTTTCTTGGCAAACCATACTTTTGGACTTTCCTAGAATGTGGACTGTAATCAACACTCAAATTGGTCAACAATCACTAATAACCACTTCACAAAAACTATCATGTTACCTATATGTATATATGTTTGTGTTAAAGATTTCTTTTTCACCAAAGGTAAAATTGAAAAGAGAATCTCTGACACAGAGGCCTAATGTATTCCCTGATTGGCTGCACCCTCTGCTGAAACTGCAGTTTCATATATTTAAGGCTCATTAGCACAGCTTGGGTCAGCAAACCAAAAAAATAGAGTTAGGCTTCTTATAATGGTGAAATGTAAATAATATCTATGGGGTTTTGAGTCTATTTTAATCCACCATACAGTAACCTAAATTAACTTAGGTATGTGAATAATGTTATGACATTACACCTAATTCATTATTTGATATTATCCAACAGACTCAAAATACCATAATTATTATTTTAGTACCTGTTATACTTAATGATTGAACTGTTATTAACCTACAATAACCATACACAATGCAAATTTCAACTTATGGAAAATAAGGCTAATGTTTGTTTTTCCTCTTCTTTTATTAACTAGAATTTCAGAGTTTAAAAACTATCACATAATCGTTCATATATTGAGAAAAATAAAAGTAATAAAATACAATATCACTTTAAGTAGCATTATTATTCTTTACTGAAAAATATGGATGTCATTCTATTTATTAACATTTCAGATAACAACAGAGATTTTGTGGTAGCAGCAAAAGCATCAAATGAAAAATTGCATAAGACAAATTACTGTTGCAAATCAACTGCTCAACACAAACAAACCCATTCTGAATCAATGAATTTCATAGGAAATAACGTTTAGCAATATTCAAGAATGTTTATACCAATTTTGGGACATGCTTCTGTATAAATGTGTATAGAAATTATCAAGTGTTTACCACTAATTGCATCTGCTTTAATATTCTAAAAAAATGTTATGAGGAAATAAAATATTTCACTTTATATGTCTCAAAGCAATACTTGCCTGTACTGGTCTCTTAGCACCCAACTTTTCAATTCTTTCTAAAACATCACTAAATGGAAGGCGTGGATACAAACGGTGTGCCCAATGTTCTAATATTGCCATCATTTTATCCAAGTCATTTGTCTGTAAAATATTGAAGCATGTTATTTATTGGTTTAAATATTGTACCCATAGCAAAAAAAGCATACACAAGTTTTATTACAAATTATAGACGTGTAATAAGTAATTTTGTCTCATAGTTCCACACATAACAAACATAATCATTCCTCTGTAACTTTATTTTTTTTAATATTGTGAAATAATGAAATGTCATTTTTTTATAATACTAAAATATATAAAACAAACTATAAATAAAGTACAAACAGATTTGCTTTCCATTATAAAAAACTGTTTTATCATAAATTTACTACATCAAACATTTTTATTTACATTGGTTCTTTTAAGAACTAGTTAAAAAATAAAGCAATCAATGGTGTGCCAAATATGTTAGAATGAAGACACTATATAATACTTGAAGCATTTCCGATGCACTATTTCAGGGCATATGTCACTTTGAACAGTTTAAAATAAGAAATTAACCATAAAAATTGTTATGTTCATGTGAAGTTAGTATTATCAAGATATGAGGAACAAATATTAGATTTAGTATTAAAATAGTAGTATACTTTGTTTACTAACTGACTGGGGTGTGGTAAACAAGTCTTGGGAAATCCTTAATAACAAGATAGACTTACTTTCTTCAAATAAATTATATTTTGACTTGATCTATCAATCTTATATTGGCATATACAAATTTGTTTTTTAGTTTCTTACAATACTAAATATTTTAATACAAAACTGTAAAGCTTATAGAGACTCAGTAAAAGAACTTGATTACTAAAAATAAGAATATATCACTGTGGTATGCTGTTTCAAACTTCCTGTTATAATCACAAATAAGTTCATTTAGCAGACAAAAAAAACAATGTATGCACCAAGTACAAGATAAAAAAAAGTAACAAGAATAAGAATCCTAACTTTAAATTATATATTGAAATACTGGAATGATTAAGATAAATATTTGCTAAACTTTAAACTGCAGGTTCTTTAAAGTAGTGCAAAAAATGTGTTGCTAGACATCCTGCATTTGACTATGGGTACAAAAAGTACTTAAGAGGTTGTATGCTCTTTCAAAATACATAAAATGTTTAACTTTCAAAGTAATAACTGTAAATGTTTACCTCATAGCCTTTCCCTTTAAAAGTAACTTTTTCAAACACCTTTGGAAGTAGAGCAATACCTCGTTTTCCACAGAGTCTGAAATGAAACATTGACAATACATGTAAAACAATATTACATAAGTAAACTTAACTCATTCAAAAATACTGAGCAAATGCTTATCTATCAATCATGAACCTTCTATAATTTGTAAATACAATTTTTACTGTAGGTTTAACCTCTCCCAAGAAATCTCGTCTCAACTCTTTACTTAAACATTAACATTTTCTTAAATCGAAAATGTATTTCCAATAATACTTACCTCTTCTCACACTACAGCTGTTACTCAACAGCTAGGGTTTCCTTCCTTTGCCCATCTAAGCATTGGTTTGAATTTTTCTCACTTGCTCCAGTCTTTTATTCCACACTTAATTGCCCTTGGCGATATCTGTCTCGTGACACTCTCCACCTACGGCAATGCACCATTTTTTGAGACTGACTCAATCTGCATTAACACCAGCTCTTAGTTGGGAGGAAGGGCAGGAGAGTGTGAGAGAGCTAAGTATTATTGGAAAAACGTTTTCAATTTAAGAAAATGTTAACTTCCAAAACATACTTCTCACACTACAACTAGAATCCTACATTGATAAGGTGTAGAGGCTGGTGAGGGCATTATCCATATAGAATGCAGCTGCATAGATTGTGGGTGTGCCAATAGAAGATTAGCATCCTAGCATGGAACCACACTATATCCAGAACAGGTATGCTCTTCACCCGGAACCTAATTCAAGCACTTCAAGGGTAATGTGATATAATCATCATCACTATTGGCCAGGCTCCAACCAGCTAACCGAGGTTCCAATGCTTGGGGTTGGAATTATAGAGCCATGGTTCCTAAATCCCATGTTGGTGGCTAGGCATTTGGGCAGCAATATATATACTTGTGAGTGTATCCCAACCTGTAGCTATAAAGTGATGCCTTACGAGCCACCAGAATCATGATGAGAAGATAAACAACACTGAAGTGGACAAACCCTCTTCTCAACCTGAAGAAGTCTGAAAGGCAACACCCCCCAACTCAGAATGACAGGATCCTGTATACCATACTCAATCTGAAGAAACAGAACTCATCTGGTCTGGAATTATTAACACTCATCTTCACTCCCCAGCCATGTTGGCAAGGTAAATTCCACTTGTCCCTGGAATTATGAGGAGGACATGAAATAAGCTGTGCTCAAACAAGGACCCAGGAAGGTACCACCCTGTGTTTGGAATTATGAGGAGACAATGAACCCTCTTCCATGAAAAATGTACTGAACCAATATTGATCAAAAAGAAGGGCCATGCTCAACCCAACTGGATAGCTGAGCATCAAATCTGAACCAGTATTACGAGTAGGCTCCCACATAGTCTGGTGCCTCTCCTACTAAAATCTGAGAAAAAAAAACATCCAGGATCTCTGGTAGGAGGGCCCCAAACTTTGCCCTTTTCTCCAAAAGTGGAGGAAATTCACTTGAACACCCTAGAGGAATAACCTCTGTCCATCACCAGAGTGACTGGAAACAAGGATGTTGTAAGGACTCCCTAGCTCTACTAGTAGAATATGGGTGGGTAATGCAAGTTGGGGAGTCATGATGAAAAATACTTTGGAAACAATGCAATTGGTGAAACAAGTTCCATAAATCTTTAAAAGCAAACAAACCCTGATTTATTAAATCCAATCATTGGCAGGGATGGGCAAGATCCCTTTATGCTTTGCTCATGATAGTCCATGAGTGGCAGTCCAGCATATACAGTAATACCACTCTAGGTGGTCTTATGGGACATTTTATCTCTACAGTGTGTGTGTTACAACCTAGATAAAGTATATTGTGTTAATGGTTACTAGTGCAGAATTGGTTTGATAAAAGCACACCTGTCTGGGCAACACTTACCATAGAGTAGGATCCTGTGAAAAAGAGATAAGGGACCCTGAAAAGTAAAGAAGAGACAACATTAGTAATGAAGATACTCACACCTCTGTATGATATAGCAGATGTGGTTAAGATAACTACAGGGGGTAGGTGAGAAACCCTCAGAGAAAAATACTGCCAGTTCATGCAAATAATGTGAGATAAAAGTATTGGGGGTGGTCCACATACCAGACCACACAGTGTCTTTCAGCAGGCATTTCAACAGGATTGCTAAGGGCATAGAAAGGTGATGAATCTAATGAGACATGACTCCCAGAAGTCTTCTCACCTCCAACGAGAGCCCAGAAAAAGCAATATGGATCAACTTTTGTACCCCCTCCCTCAAAAAAGTAATCAGGGATAAATCTCAAAAAACTGAAGGATCCCAATGAAGAAAAACTCATTGTCTAGTACTTCTAAAGGCATTAGTGTGGGCCTCACTGGACATAACAAACGATCAGAATCCGATCAGTCACAGAAGTGAGAAATAGTAGTCAGAAGAATTGGTGAAAAGGATGTATCCTCTTCCATGGCTGCCAGTGTCTTAGGTAAGATGGACCTTTTTGGGTATAGGAGGACATAGGTAGAATGATAAAGCATCCTGTACATATGCATTGCAAACAACTCCAAAAAGCCATATCTGCAGGCAAGCAGCAACAAAAAATAAACCTTAAGGGAAAGGTGATACATAGGACATGAGGCTAAGGGCTCAAACTAATGTTGAGAAAGAGATAGGGAATTGAAATGGTAGTTTGGGACGAAGGACTTCAAATGACTTGAAAGACTCAAATAATTTTCTTCTCTTTGAGTATCTAAAGGTATTTGATAAGGCCACCTTAAGTAAGACGGTTGTGGAAGATGTGAAACCCTCGTCAAAGAGCCATTTCAAAAAATGAGTCATGGTTGACACTTCTGAATAAAGTGGGTTCAACCTCCTTGCAATACACCATTGTTGACATGTGTACCATTTCTGTTGATAAATATCCATTGTGGGACTACACAAAGACTGAGACAGATACATGGTAATCTTGGAAGTAAAACCATGATGCCTTGCAAAGGAATACATAACCTCCATGCATGAAGCTTCAGGATGGCTGGTTGTACAATGTCGGATTGTGACTTCCTAAAAAGAAATGACCAAAGAGGAAGTGGAAGAGGTAGGCACTCCTGAAGATACCATAGAAGCAGAAAACAGGCTTGACCCAACCAACCTGATGCTACCAACAAAACCTAACAAGAGGTTGAATGAATCATAGCTAATAGTCTGTTTAACATACGAAACAGTGGGAAGGCATAGAGGTGCAATCCCACCCAGTCCTCAGTAAAAGCATCTATTGCCAATGCCCGAGGGTGAGGTACTGGAGACCAAAATGCTGGTAGTTGAGTGTTCCAACGAGTGGCAAACATATTGATTATCAGTGTCCCAAACAGATAGCAAATTCAACAGAAAACATTGCAATGCAGCATCCATACTGTCGGGAAAATCCAGTTGGGTCGAGACAATTGAACTGCCACCAAATTCATCAACCCTGAAACATAGCAAGCTAGTAGGATTATATGATGGGAGTGAGCTCAATAAAGAAAAACCAAGGTTTGAAAACAAATAGACCTGGACTGAGTGCCCCCTTGATGAGAAATGTAAGGCACTACCATGAAATTGTCATAGTGAAACATGACAATAATCAATATTTCCCCTCAGTAAGTCCAGACCTTGAGACATCACCCTTTCAACAGGAAATTTGAAACACTGATGTGCAGGGAAGCCTTGTTGTCTGTCCATAGGCCTTGGTATTCATGACTATTGAGATATGCACCCCTCCTTGAAGTAAGGCATCTGTGAAGAGATGGATCTCTGGTTGAGGTGGCTACAGAGGATCACCCATTGTAGTATTGCTTCAATCTAACCACCACTCAAGGTTGAATATTTTGATCCTGAATAAGGAGACTGGTGAATTTAGTAGATTGCTGTTCATGATCCATTGGTCATGCAGAGACCACTAAAGGGATCTCATGCATGCTCATCCCCAAGTAATGGAAGATTCAACTGATGCCCACATCCCCAAAAGAGAAAGAACCATCCATACAGAGGGAGAAGGAGACATATGAGTCAGACTGCCTATTCCATAGTGTGAAGCCTGATGGGAGTTGGCTAAACCTGACTGAAATATGTGTTGAAAAAGACACCCAGATGGATGATATATTGTATTGGTGTGAGGATAGATTTCTTGGTTGCAATAATAAAGCCTGCCTTGGTTGCTTCTGAAAGTAGAATCTGGATGTGACATTCCGCTAACTGATGAAATGGTGCCAGCAGTAACCAGTCGTCCATGTAATGGTGTGTGAACAGGCCTAGGAAATGGAGGTGACAAGAAAAGGCTTGTACAATTCAGAAGAATACATATGGATGGTGCCAATACTAAACCGAAGGGCAGAGACTGCAGCACCTGATTCTTGTGCGCAAAATACAAATAGTGGTGGGATGACTCTGCTATGGAAACGTGCAGATAAGAATCGGCAACATCGAACTTGGTCATCCACAGTTCTGGCACAAAATGCCAATGCAGAGTGAGGAATGACTCCATAGTGAACCTTGGAGGACCTAGGAATTGATGTAGACTACAAAGATCAATGACCAGACACCAATCTCCTGTCTTCTTGGCCACAACAAACAGATGGGAATAAAACTCTGAAAGAATTGGGATGACTTTCTCCACTGCTCCCTTGACCAACAATTCTCTCATAGCCCTGGTACAAAGTTCTGAAATCCAAGGATCTGTGAGAGGCAGAAACACTACAGGTTGGGTGCATAATGGTGGTGAAGATGTGAACTGAATGACTAATTCTGATGCAAGGACTTGTAGTACTCATGGATCCTTGGTAAAGGTTTTCCACACATCCAGAAATTCTCAGAGCAGAGCCCCCACAAATCCCAAAGGGACATGAGAGTCACCACCACTGCTGGCAGCATTCTGCCTCAGTGGAGGAACCTCGTGGATATTGGTGGAATCTATTCTCGGTAACAATGGTCCAAGGGGCTGATGTCGGGGGTTAGAAGGAGGGAAGTCGAGAAGCCAACGACTATAGGGATTAATGCAGATGGGCAACATCAACCCTTCATTCCAAAATCTCTGGAATTCCTGCAGAATTAAAAGGTTGGAGAAAGGGAGCCTCATGTAACTAACGGAAAGTGGCAACAGGTAGATAAATGCCCTCCAACAAAGCATCTCTACCCAACAAATCCCAACAACATACTAGCCAAGAGACTAAGGAAAGTGTAGAATCTGACCATCTAAACAAGGTAGATGCTAACTCGTCATCAAATTGATGTGGTGATCACTAAGAGGCTTCCAACAAAAGTTGGAGGGATGATAAATATCTTAGCACTGTAGTTATGGTGAGCTATTCAGGCTGACCAAAACTCTGTTCTGGAACCCCACATTTCCAGGAGCAGGAATATTCATTGAGAGTCTAAATGCACGTCCACCTGGCAGTGGTAGGCTAAAGCATATTGTTCCGAAAAACGTGGCGGACAAGGCATAGCTGTCCTTTTACTGAGCAGTAAGCCTCTCTGCATGAATTGCAATATCAGGGGATGGAGGGAGAACTAAGTATTTGCCCTCAGATACTTCTACCATCAGGGAAGGCACAAACTCAAAACATCACACACCCAATTTACCAATTGAAGAAAAGGAGCCAGAGGTGGCTGATCCAAATTAGCCCCATACGAAGCCCACATAATAAAGGAAAGCGATGGAAAAAGTGGATCTAAATTCTCTCCAGAATGTCCAGGATAGCTGTCCTTTCACTGAGCAGTAAGCCTCCCTACATGAATCGCAATATCAGGGGATGGAGGGAGAACTAAGTATTTGCCCTCAGATACTTCTACCATCAGGGAAGGCACAAACTCAAAACATCACACACCCAATTTACCAATTGAAGAAAAGGAGCCAGAGGTGGCTAATCCAAATTAGCCCCATAAGAAGCCCACATAATAAAGGAAAGTGATGGAAAAAGTGGATCTAAATTCTCTCCAGAATGTCCAGGATCAACCACAAGTGCAGCCTCAGAGTCACCTGGAGAAACACCACAGGATAAAATATATGTTTCCATCTCACTACAAATAAGGTCATGGACAGCCTCAACTGAGAGTGAACCCCCCAACTGCTGAGCACACTAGATATCAGGGGTGGGATAGTAGAGACCTGATTTGCCTGTGCTGGAAAAAGTGATCTGGGAATTCAAGCTATATATGGGCTTGCCAAACAACCCCCCCCCTCAAAATCAACTAGGTAAAATGCAGAACTCTCAATGTATCTCCAATAGTTGTAGTACACAGAAACCCTTTGAACACTTTGTCAAGAAAAAGTGATAATATTATCTGAATGAGGTGCTTATATACAGTACCAGGATAAAGGGTGCACTGACATAGATTGACATATATTGCCAAGGGCAATTAAGTGGGGAATAAAAGACTGGAGCAAGTGAGAAAAAAATCAGACTAATGCTTAGATGGGCATAGGAAGGAAACCCTGTCAATTGAGTTATAGCTGAAGTGTGAATGTTTTGGAAATTGCTTTTTTTCTAGTGATGTTTTATGAGATTTCATGTGTATGGACATTTTCAAATAATGCACAACAAAAATACATTACTTTTCACAAGGTCCTATTAGTGATGAATAAAATCATTCATATAAATATAGTATGAATTAAAACAACAGTATATCTATGTTACAAATTTCCAATAATGTCAATCAATTGGAAATTAAACACAAAAGTTTGCTAATTTAAATACTATTGGTGAAAACTTAAGAAAATCATCATACTTAATAAAACTATAGTTATTATAATATGTAAGATCATAAGATAGACTTTGGACATCTTTCTAAAACATAATGAAATTAAAAAAAACAACAAGGAATGAATATATTATTTGGCCCACAAACACACACAAAAAAAATCCAACTTACAGTGGACCTTATATTTTACATTATAATTGTCTAGAAATCCTTAATAATTTCTAGGTACTAGTCAAGGCAATGCGTTTATTACTGAAACATATACTGCCATGAAAACTTTAAAGCTGAAGGTTTACCAAAGATAATATATCTATTGCCTCTAATAAATACTTGCTATGACTGAAAGTTATGACTTTCACCTTTTTATAACTAGTGAGAATATATCTATATTCACATGCATTCATGTAACATTTTTTCCAAATTTTGATGAAGTTTCTGTATGTAGTTAATCACATACATGTTGACCGAATGTCTCAAAATCATAAATGCACACATAAAAGCTACATACATACTGCAAACTTTGTTCTTAAGTCTCAAGCTAGCATGTATGTGTTTCTGTAAGGAATTCTTGGAAGGAAACCCATTCAAAGAGGCAATAAAGAAACCTGTACATCTGGCTGAGTATACAATGTAGACCATTGGCTGAAGTATGTAATATGTTAACTTGTGGAACACTTGACTTTGTCTCACTAGAGACTTAAGTCACGTATTTCCATATTTCTGGGTTTTACTCTTGATCTCTTGATTTTCTCAACCCTAGCAGCCAGACAATTTTGAAGAAGCCCAGCCAGTTTTGGTAATGTAACACAGTTTGGTAAATAAATAATTATTTGTGTCTTAAACTACACTAGTGTTTGCTCATTCTCTTTTACTGCTTGTGTTCAATTTATTCTTTGCTTAATAGTAATATGTAGCATTTGGCTATTCTGCTGGATGTCAGTGAATCTGATTACCACATACTTAACTAGAGGAGCACTTAGTAGAGCCCATACCTCCACCAAGCAGTGTTGATCATATTCTGCCCTAAAAAAATACAAAAATATATCCATATGTCCATTGTTATCAATGGACAAAGGACCATTTCTAGTAGGACAATGGGGAATAATATTCTACACAAGTCCACCAAGTTTTATTAAAATCTAATTATTTTTGACTGAGTTATAGAGCAAAAATAGTGATAAACTGGCCCTCTTGCTAACAGATATTGATTTTCATGGCCTTGTTATGACCTTGGTCTTTAACCCTCTAAAAACTAATAAATTCTAAGTTGGGTCATAGTCAAAATGTATACCAGCTTTTGTCCAAATCCATTTAGCCATTTTCAAGAAATCCTGCTGACAAACACACACACAGGGGTGAAAACATAACCCTTCCCCTCACCAAAGGTGACGGAGGTAATGAACTATTTTGTATCAGATTTTAGAGTACAATTCAACTTTTCAATTTGAAAGATTTTTACAGATTATGACTTTCAGTTTTCAGCACATTTATGTTGTACAGCTGGTTTGGATTATGTACACAAAAATCAGATGGTCTACTCCAGATTTCTGAGTCATTTCTGTTGAAAACATTTACTAAAGCTTGAATGATGAGCTACTGTCTTCCATATAATGAAAATAGGAATGAGTTATGAACACAAAGTATTAAATCCAGACTTAATGTACACTGTACATGATTTTCAAATAACTAACTGCAATTTTGCCCAAATTTGGTTGAAAACAATCCTCAATTCTTAATAAATCAGAGCTTTTAATTTTAATTATTCTTTTTTTGTACAGTATTAGTTAAATTTATCATTTAAAGCAACTATTCAGTTACAGAGCAAAAATTAAAGCAATTTAATCACAAATTATATATATTTTTATTTTATTTCAATATTTTATGATTATTAAGTAAACTGAATTTCAAGTCACTACAACACACATAAATCATTTCTTTCGTTTCTTAAACATTTTAATAAGCTGTACCAATGTCTTTATATTTCTAAAACACTTTATATTATAATTTCAAAGAAAGTAATAAAAAAGTAACCTGTCTGCATCAAGCTTTGGCAGGGGATTACGAACAATTTTTTTCTTTGCTTCAACTGGCTGTTGACTAGCAGTATTTACATCTCCATCTTCATTTCTAACGTCTTGATTATCCTCCTGAGTATCATCTTCATTTTCAGCTGTATGTAACTCATCCAAATTTTCATCCTCATCAAAAAGGTTTTCCAAATCATCAGCATTCATCTACATATTTCCAAAATAAATTTCATGAGCTAGAAACTAACACTGACAAAAAAAAAGTCCCTAAATTCATAATTATCTTATTTCATCTACACATTTTGGAAGAGTTGAACTCTTTCACTGTAGTGTTTATAGATAAACAAATCTCCTAGTACCAGGCTTATATATAGATACACACTAAATAACAAAAATGTCTTAATATTTCGTTACTTATTTGAAAATGAAACTGGTGAAGTTTTCAAAGGGATATCTTTTATTCACAGTAAAACAAAACTGTTATTGTTATGGCAAAACTCTAGAGGGGAACATAAAGCTGTCTTAGCTGAAGATGGCTTCTTCCTTGTCTTATCATTCTCACTATTAAATATGAAAAAAGGTGATGGATCAATAGCATCAATTCTTTTAACAATCTTAAACATCTCAATCAGATACCCTCTAGCTCTCTTTTTTTCATGAGAAAACAAGTTTAAAGATCTTAATCTATCCTTATATGATAACAATTATACCCAGGTATCATCCTAGAAGCCCTCCTCTGAACCCTTTCCAATAATTCAATATCCTTTCTAAGGTAAGCTGTCTAAGACTGACCACAATATTCCAAGTGTGGCCTAACCAGTGACCTATACAATGATGTTATAACCTCTTTAGACTTGTATTCAATATTTCTGTATATACAACCTAAAATACTATTTGCCTCACCACTAGCAACAGTTCATTGTTTGAATGTACTTATGAGATTGATCAAGAACACAAAGATCCTTTTCTTCTATAACACTGTTAAGGTTATTCCCATCAAAATTATATGCATAATTCAAATTGTGATATCCCATACACATTACCTTGCATTTATAATTATTAGCCATCTGCCATTTATTCCCCCAATTCACCATATAACATGCCTATGGCAACAAATGTTAAGCGTGACTACTACATCAATTCATAAGCTTTGTACTTAATAAATACAGGGCTTTAATTGTGGCATAATATTCAATCTGGAATACTAAAATTATGTTTATTCCACTGGAATGTTAGCACCCTATCCAATGTCTAATTTGTGCAATATTAGCAGGAATTAACTATGCAACACCCACTTATAAAGTATCTTGATTGTCATTCAGAAAATAAATCCTAATGAATGATTGTCTAATACTTATGGTACATGTAATATTTTGTCAATAGAATCTCTAACAAGTGATAACATTATATCATAGCTTAAGGTTCTGACTTAGACACACACACTGATTTACAGTAGTAGAAATGCAGATTGTATTTACAGCAATACATAAAATAACGTGTATAAATAAAGATGATAAACAATTTTATTTTCACATTTAAACAAACCTGTTAGATCAAGGTGACAATACTGACAATTAACTTTAATATCTATTGTGAGGAAGTTATTTATCGTTACTTCTTCCTTTTGAAGGGATGCAACAAGAAGTATCTGTTGTGAATTGGGCAGCTGAGTTATTTTGAGACGCTAATAAAATTTGGAAAACGTTTACATATTCAAGGTAAACATATTCCTTATAGAAAGAAAAGGGTGGCTGCAAGTAGAAAACCAAGTTGGTTCACAAAGAGTATAAGAGATAAAATTAAAGAATAGCACCATAAATTTCTAAAATTTAAATTGACTAACATCATGGAGGATTTAGAAGACCAAAAAAGTTGGCCAAACAGGAAATTAGGACATCAAAAAAAGATGTTTGAGAAAAGGTTGGCTGAAAATGCAAAAATTAACAGTAAGGATTTCTTTAAATACATTAAGGATAAACAAAATGTTAGGATGGAGGCAGGGCCCTTGAGGGATGATAAAGAAAGGCTTGTATCTGACAATTAAGAAATGGCCGAGTTATTAAATTATTTTTCTTTAGTTTTTACCATTGAAGATTTAAGCAGTATTCCTGCTGTAGTATTTTCCCCAAAGATTTCGATGGAGGTTAAGGATCGGATATGTGAGCCATTTGCTACTATTTTGTTTTATAAGCCCTTGAATAGTGGGAAGGTAACAGAGGATTGGAAGTTAGCTAATGTAACTCCTCTTTTCAAGGGAGGTGATAAAAATTGTCCCAGTAATTATAAACCCATTGGTCTTACATCAGTTGTGGGGAAAAGTTTTGGAAAGACTGTTAAAAAGTTCTTTGCAAAGTCACGTAACAAAGTTTAGAATTTTATTGGTTTCACTAAGGGAAAATCTTGCCTTACAAATCTTTTGACATTCTTATGTAGGTGAGGGTAAGGGTGTAGATTTGGTGTATCTGGTATAAAATACATGACATACCCACATATCACAGGCATTACCACATTGGGTTTAATTTACCAGTGCCTGATCACATTTGCCACACAGAATGTAAATGACATTTGTCCAGTGTTTATGAATTGTATTGTGTAATCCATTTTGTGTCAATAAACAGTTCCTGGGATTACTAGATGTGTCACTAGTAAGCTAACTAAAGATACTGCCAACAACCTTGTCATGAATGGTATCGAACAAAATTGTCATAGAATAATATACATAAAATTTCATTTCTTGTTACTGAAACCATAAATCTGGGTAGAACATCAAAAATAGCACAGTAACAGCAGGCCAAGTGACCATTTGATTCTTAAAAAGAAAATAGACAATAATAATTACAAAAATTGAGCTAAGAAAACAGTTTGAAACTGATTTTTCTTCTCAATCATAGGAGAACAAGACAAACTGGATTCAAATATTTAAAATTTTATAATGCTTGGATAGAATGCCTATCTATGAGCAGTGTGTTTGCTTATTAGAATAAGAATATGGGAGTTGTTACTGGAGTACAATGCATAATCTATGGAAGTCCGAACATAGACTTCTTTTTCAAATAGTATTTGTCCGTATGAGTTGGAAATACTCAGCTATAAGCTTCAACTTACCTTAGTAGCCTCTTTTAAAATAGTGTAAAAGTTTGATCTTCTTTCTACAGGAAAGATATCAACTTACTGGAAATTATGTAGAGACAGGTTGCTCACATAGAATAATGTCTATTTAACCCTTCCATTTTGGGCTGGGTGGAATCTACCCAGCTTGTAACCACAAAAGTATTCATGAAAGTAATTATACTAGGATTTTTTATAATGCATGCATATCTACAAAAAATTTTACAGGTTACTGGTAAACATTACAAGGTTTTCGTACATAAAAATATCATGTTTTCAAATTAAGTAATAAGATTTTTTAATTAAAGATTTTCTCATAAACCTTTTTTTTCAGAATGTTGACTATCCAATATGCAAAACAATTTAATGCATTAGAACATTTTCAAATTTCACATGCGTAATCTTTATAATCTCCAGATAATTATCAAATTTCTTTTAGCAAAAACTTTATATTTTATTTATTTTCACTACTGTATTTCTGTATAGTTTGGTTCGATTTGACCGACTTCGTAACCTCAATAAAAAGTAGGAAAAAAATATAAATTATACTTTTTGCATTCTGAAATGACTACAAATTATAACACAAAAACACAAATGTTTAGTCTAAATAGCTTAAATCTCATAACATTATACATTTATATATATTTATTATTTTTATTATATTGACCTTCCAGCCATGCCTGGCTAACAATACAGAAGTTACAATGATGCAGTGCATGTGAACTCGTGTTACCATATATAATAATATATATAACTGACCTTTAGTCTTTGCTGTGTTTTAGTGGACTAGTATTTTGTAAAATACAACCACATGTCAATTATTATACATTATATATGCATATACATTATTACTATTTACAAATATGTTCTTAAACTTATTTTTCTTGAAACATAGAACAGTAAATAAAGAAGTAAAGCAAACAATTATCTCTTCTAGTTATGACCTTTGTACTTGTTTGTCATTTGTTGTAGGTTGCTAAGCCTTATGAAATTTCCCATGTGGAGGATGTGAAAAATAATATTTTTTTTGCTTTTATATATATACATTTTAAATAACCAGAAAGTTATAAATTACTATATCAATACCATAGAATTCCACTATAATTTATCAAGCATAGTAACTAAGATGTATTTGGGTCTAAAAAATATGAAATTTTGAGCTCACTAAAGACTTACCTTATCATTTGAAATGTTGTGTGAAAAGAATGAAATTAACACAATAATATGTCAAAATGGCTAAGAGAACCACTAGGAAGACAGGACATTCTGAGCTATCGATTGGTTATTTGTGTCATATATAGATGGAAGTGTATATAAGGGACCATTTCCAAAAATGGAAAGAGGTGAGTGGAGGCCACTGTGTTTGATTCAGCACATGAGCGATATCTTAGCAAAGAGAAAACATATGAGGTTCTTATTTTATATTGCAGTTTGTAAATATTGGAAGTTTGAGTTCCTAATTCATAGTAACTGTAGATTTTGTATTTTAACCTAAAAAAGATCTAATTTGAACTTATGCATTCAACATACCACATAACACAAAAATTGATGTTTAGCTGTTTCTTTTTAATATTTACTTTTAAATTAAGAAATTAACTATTGTATGATACTAAAATTTGAATTATGATCTACAATTTTATACCAAATTTGTTAACATAAATTCATAACATAGTAGTTCATTAAAATTTTGAATGCAAGTCAACAAATGCAATTACATGGCCTTTGATGCAATATGGTTAAGAAGTTTGAGTTAAAAGGAACAGCTTAAAGTTCTAGACTTGTTTTAATATTTGTTTTGTGAGTCCTGAGGCGACTTATGACCACTGGGGTATCTTAGATGCTGATGCATCATCAGTGATTCTTGGGCAGATTTACCTGGTGGTGCCAATCTCCTCTCCAGGTAACCATTCCTAATTAAGCAGTGAGAGACTAAAGGGAGGCAGCTAGTCAACACCACTCATTGCCAATGCTTAAGTTACTCTTTTACCAACAAACAGAAGCGTTATAATGCCCCCATGGCTGAAAAGGCAACAAGGATTTGAACCCACAACCTGTATATTGTAAGTTGAGTGCCCTATACACAAGGCCATTTTCTGTATTAAAGTATATTAAATAAGAAAATTTAGGCAAATGGACAATCTGCCTATAATTGGTTTATACAAGTGTTGAAAAGATAAAGATCAAAATGAAAATTAGTGATTTTAAATTTTGGAAACCTAAATATAGATTTGTTTTTCAAAATTATTATACTAAGTTACAAGCTTCTGAAGCAATTTACCTTGTATGTTGTGTACTTTTTTTTAAGGAAGGGAGCTTAAAACTTAACTATGAAATAACACTCAACCCTATGAATTATAATTTATATAAAAAAACTAAGAATGGGGAGTAATTCATTAAGGTTATCTTTTAGATATAATAACTAATTCTTATTGAGTATTCTCTGTTTTTAAATACTAATCCTCTAGTGTTACTACTACAATTAGCATAACAATAACATAAGGATAATAAGGGACCACTTAGTCCTTCAAAGCAGTCCTTTCACACTTACCCTTAAGAAAAGTAAGAAATCATCTATTCCCCTCATAAACTCTTGTGGAGTGGTGGCCTTCACTAGTGCCAACAGCAAATCATTCTATAAGCTAATTACTCTGTTAGGAAAATAAAAATTGTCTTTTCCAAATCTGAAATTTGTTCTTTCATCCTACTCTTTTCAGAATACAGCACTGAGAAATCAGAAGCCTTTAATTTTATTGATCCCCTAAATAATCTTGTAAGATTCAATAAGATCACTTCATACCCTTCTTTTATCAAGAGAGAATAAGAAATCTAAAAGCACTATCATTATGAATAGTACAGCCACAGCAATAATTTTAAACATCTTTAATGAACTATCCAAAGTTACATATATTCCATCTTCAGCAACTCTGTGAAAATAATTTAAACAATCTTTGGTATAATTACCAAAATAAAAATACAATGAATAGTGTTAGGAAATTATAAAACATTCAGTTTAAAACAAAGAGCTATTTGAATAAAGCAATGGGGAATGAGTTTGAATTTTTATTGAGGCTTGAATTTTCATTCATAATATGTACTTTCTTTGAACAACAGTTCATGATCATTACATCCATAAGTTAGAATTAAAAGGCACCTACATATGCAAGAATTCTTGCCATTTACAAATACAGACCTTGAAACACATGGGAATTTCTAACCGAACTAAACTTAAACTTCAAGCTCCACCTAACTTTCCTATATATTATCCCAATGAAATGACATCACACCCTGTTTCTTTAGAAAACTTTTCAATTCTAACTTAAGTTGATAAAAGAAAGTCTAAATATTCTGAATGAAAATTGAAGTTTCATTAGAAATTCAAACTCATTTCCACTTGTTTTATTCAAACAGCTTTTTTTAAATTAAATGTTTTAAATTTTTTTAACACTATCCATTGAATTTTTTTTATTAGTAATCACACTAAAGGTTGTTCAATTCGTTATTTTCATAGATTTGCTAAAGATGGAATATGTCTAATTCCAAAACATTCATTAAAAATGTTTACAATTGTTGGTGTGGCTCTACTATTCATTAACAGACGTTGCTTTTCACCAAATGAATCAACTGCTTACACTATCATCATATTTCTAAGCCCTGCCCTCACTATTATTTTTGTACATCATGTTTGTGTCTCATTAACTGTCTCTATTTCTTTTGTTACAATAATTAGTTGGGATGTCCATTAAAATTGCAAGAATGTGCATAAATTGTTCTATTGCATAGAAAACATGTACACTATCTTGACCTTACACCATAATATTAATAATTTTTTTGGGGGGAATACATCATACATTTGGAGTTTCTCACACATTAAAATAATCTGTATGCAGAGGCCTGCAAGTTGCAAGAGTCTGCATTACCATAAGAGTCCAAATGCTAAAAAAATTAACCATAACCTGATCAAAAAGGTAAAATTGTGTCATGATATTACTGGTGCACATTTTGAAGAGCTACGATAGAAAAATCATTGTCATCCTTCACTTTTGCATTGCCCTGTACTATTACCAGCATACAATTCACACCTTTTGTCTCTTAAATTTACATCAGCCAAACAATGGACTTGAAATCCATGAGAAAAAAAAACAACCTTAGGTTACACACTGTGTCCCACACTTTTGTTTATAAGGGAAAATGTTCATTTCCATTTTTACATGAAATAATGCAAAAAGTGAAGCTCCTTTTAGTTGTTACACTTCATGAAACCAATTTTTAGATATGTTTATAAAATAAATTAACAGGTGCATATAATATTATATTACTAAACTTCTAATCAGTAGAAGTTACAATAACAGAATGCTTGAAATTTACTGTTCAAAAGTTTTTAACTGTTATTGTTAAGAAATGAATAGCATAGTCTCTAACTTAAATTTAAAATAAAGTGTGTATGATAATTACTTGTGATGTTTGAATAGAAAGCAATCTGGAACATATAATTACTGTGGCATAGGAAATAATAATTCATAGCAGGAGTCAGCAACCCTTCAAAGATGAAGACATTTTTTCTTTTTGTCAAAGACCAAACCATTTTGAAAGCCACAATATGCTCTAACAGTCTAACATAAAACAAAAGAAAAATGTCATGGTGGGACAGCAGTAAGTCTTTGGATTTAAGTCACTAAAATCAAGGGTAGATTCCCCAAGGAAAACATTGAGATTAAATTTTTAACACACATTGTGCCTAAAAGATTCTCAATTTTTCTTCACAGTAAGAGTAAAGATTGAGAGTCACACAAATATCCTTAAAGAGCTGCAGGTTGCCTACCCCTGGCCTATTGTAATAATTTGATATTGTGAGCAATGCTATAGTATATAAAAAATAATTAAGTATTCAATGTTATTATTATTTATAAATATTAATAAACCAATGAGAGGGGCTTACAACACATTCTACTTTTCTAGCATCTAAAAAGAGCTGATGAAAGGTAGACAGTAGAAGACAACAAACTAATGTAGGCAATTAGCACAGCATTTAATCTTGAAGACGGCTAAAACTGGCCTAAAGGCTAAATTAAAGCTCACTAAAATAGTAAACACGTAAAAAAAATAAAGGCTGGTTGGTAATTTACTCAATTACTGGCATTTTTCCGTGAAGTTCACAGATACTATAAAACTTAAGTTAAACTTAAAAGTACACAAAATCAAGGCAGATGTTTATATTTATTATTTTAAACTAATAAGTTATGTTACTATTGTTAGTTTGTGTTTCTAAACACAGTTCAAAATTCAAAACCATGCAGACAATTCTAAGCTAAACTTCTAAAGTAAAGGCGTTGCTAAACAAAGTCGGTGTTCAAAATGAAAGTTACAACCTGTAACGTTATGATTTAGCAATCGGGGTTGGTAACATTACTATTAGTAATAAATAATGTTATTACTAATATCACTATGTTATATCTATGGTAAAATTTATAAATGAAAACTCTAAACATTTATACTTTTTTATAATATAGTGTATTAGTATAATTTAAATAGTAAAATAGAAATGTCAGAAGGATTATTTAAACAGCAAAACTTAAGCACGTTACTTTGACTAACGGAAGATGTGATTATCCTTGTTGGTTTTATTTAAAAACTGTTTTTATAATTAATACAGCAGGGTCACCAGAACAGGAATTCCCATTTATAATGACATTAGTAAACCCCTAAACCTAACTTCTTTCGTGCTTTCCCGCGATAAATTATGAATGTTTCGTTCACTAGAGGGATATGATAATTGGAAAACTGATAATATCTTGACCAGAGACACAATAAAATATCCGCATATTTTCTATAGGTGCGGCGATACAGTGATACGATACGAGTAACGTTTGTTTCTTTGTTTGTAGTAAAGCACAAAGCTACACAATGGGCTATCTGTGCTCTGCCCACTACGGGTATCGAAACCCGATTTCTAGCTTTGTAAGTCCACAGACAGTGTCGCTGTGCCACAGAAGGGGCTCGAGTATCGTGAAGGCATAATACAGTTGTATCGATACATCGTCCGATACGATACGATTTATGTATCTTCACAAAATTTGGCAAGCTTTCAGTAAACATTATACGTCTTTTGTACAGAAGAAATAAGAATTTCTAATAAAGTATTTTTGATAAAAATTAATGATTAAACAAAGGAAGGTGAGTATTGAGTACCACATGTTGTCTTCATTTCTTTTATCAAAAATATTATATGCAAAGCAACATAACAAATTAGACAGACAGATATTAACTTTTTTTTTATTTTACTTCTCTTGCCAGCTGCCATTTAGTTGATCAAATCTGAAGATTTGAAAAACACTGTAAAGTTTGAAGTACTTAAATAATACAATGTTAGTAATTTTGATAATAAATTACAGATAAGATTGACAAACTTTGTAACAAGCCGTTGGTAAAACATCTGTATCTAGATACTATGATAATGTTGCGTCAGCGAGTCACATGACTACTGTGACGCCACGTTTCTAGAACTATCCTGTACTTTGGCGAATGCTCTAGTATTTACTAGATATAGGGTAGTCGGGTACATAAAAGAGGGTGACAACATGACGGAGTGTGTAGATAGTGAGTAATTGAACTGCAGTCACAGGGTATTGTTGAAGTTAACGTTCGTTCGTTATAGTGTTTGTTTTAGCGTGAGTATTGAGATTAAGTGTATCGCAGAGTTATATTCGGAAAGAATAAACCAGTTTTATTAAGTAAAGACTTGTGTCGTTAAAGTTTCGTCGGAAGGAAGTTACGGAAAGTTAATTAACAAACGGAAACGTAACAATAAGATACGCACCCCTAATATTTTCGTTGACGAATTACTCTCGTTAACAGCATCTTGATATTTTACAAGTGTTTTTATTACTATTGAACGATTAACATGAAATTGCAATACATAATCAAGCTTAGATATATCGCATGCAACATAACTCGAGCGAACTTATTATAATTAAGAACAGTTCGGTCAGTATTCATCTACCATTTGTTCCTGTTTGTTTGTTTCTTTTATAGCAAAGCCATATTGGACTACCAACTGTATTCATCGCAGGGAATCGGACCCTGGAATTTAGCGTTATAAGTCCTTTAATTTACTGCTTTCCCACTAAGGAATATTTTGTTTTTGAGAACACCTGAATAATAATAATTGGCAAACAACGATTTATAAGAATAATGAAAGAGACAAACCAAATGTTCTGTCGAAACATGTAGTACGTTCATCAAAAAATTAAACAATTTATTATACTTGTAAACCATTATTTGCCAATTTATTATTATGTTAGCATACATGAACTCGTGAAAAAAGTTATCAGTGAATTGGCCTAAATTTGGAGGACGTTGTTGGCGAGTGTTTCGATGGTGCATCTAATATGAGTGGCGTTCGTAAAGGACTAGCGACTTGAATGAAAGAGTGCTCACCGCGACGAATATATGTGCATCATTACGGTCATCTCCTCAATCTCGCGCTGCAGGATACTATGAGTGAGATAGAGCTATTTAGAAATGTGCTAGTGACAATCCAAAGCCTATATATTTTTCTGGAAGCTAGTCCAAAATGATATGCTCTGTTCAAGAATATTTGTTCTTACCCTAAAATTCTTGAACGTAACGAGATGGTCATGTCAACGGGTGATAACGACGCTAAGACGTATACTGACAGCACTGCACTTCTGAATATTGCTATTGATTTTGAATTCGTGTTTGGATTGCTTCTTCTGAAGGTGATATTGTTAAATACCAGCAATCTTAATAAATATTACAAGGAAAGAGCATGGATATTATCACTACCAAGAGAAATGCAGATCTTACCATCAAGAGCCTCAGTGACTGTCGGGACGAGGATA